GGCCGGAGGGGCGCGGGGGCAGTTAGGCGGATGGGAACTTCAAACCGATTTTTTTTTATTATTTTTTTTTTTTCTTTCTCTCTCCTTTCCAGTGCTTCGTTGACGCACAAAGCAGTATCTTCACTGCGGGAAGCCGCAGCACTCTTGGGGTTTGTCTCCTTGAAAATTTGTCACAAATTTTCCCTTACGGAAATGAGTTTTATTTGTGTGCATAATAGGGTTTGTTATAATGTCATTTGTTTTGTTTGCAAAGTTGGTGTTCTGTTTCTTAAGCCATATTAAAAAAAATAATTGTCAGATGTTTTTTGCCTGATGAACAAGGAAGCAATGTTTGTGCAGAAATGTAGGCCAGGATCTTCCGAGGTATGTAGGCTTGTAACTCTTATTGAAATGGGCAGGTGTTAAGGATCTATGTATGTTTTTTAAGCATCTCTGTTTCAGTGATTAGCGCTCATGGAATTTTTTTTTGTTTTTTGAGTAAACTCTTCTATGGCTTGAAATGGTTTTGTGAAATTTTAAGCAAGGCCTGATTGCTTTAGATGATTAAATGATGCCCTTAATTCCCAATACTCAAGTATTCCTCTAAAAGAAGATACCTTGCTGTAATAGTCCAACTTCATTTGATTTTAATGTGAATACTTCAGAAACAAATATTTGACAAAAAAGATAAGAATTGACTGCCTGGTGCGGAGACCTAGGTAACACTTATTATGATGGAATATCTGTATTATAAACTAATAAAGGAAAACCATGTTTTCCAGGTGGTAAAATAAGGCCTTGTGTTGTCTTTGTTGTAACCAGTAGAAAATTCAAAGATAGATTAATTCTGGATACTTAGTAGAAACATTTTAGAGGAAAATTAATATTTAAAGAATGAGGATATTTTGTCACTCTTAAAAACAAAAATTAAAGCTTCTTAAAGTTCCTCATACCTATCCTTGCTATCAAAGTAGTCTCCCACCAATTTAAATGTTTTTACTCCTCTTTTTGTTGGATAGAGGGACTACCTGAGGCAAAAAACCCTCCAAAACCAACAAAAAACCTGTCAGCCAAGATTATCACCAGTTCAGGTTTGTAGTCTTGCTGATGTGCAAGGGTTGATAGGGAAGGATGTGAACTTCATTAATTTGATGAGCCACTGGTCACTTGTGCTGTTATCCACAGTATAAAATGACCTATTGAATTCATAAGACAGGAAGGGCTGTGTGCACACTTTGCATCCCACTTCTTTTAAATAAAAGTGTGTAAGACACCAAGCTTCCTGTTTGGAAACTCTTGAAGTTTCACATATTTAAAAATATGTTTATTGATGGTTGAAGCCCTGGCAGATACAGCTGTGCTTATGTCTAGTATTGGGAGCTCAGGGGTGAACAGCAGCTCTTAGTATTCATGCATATTTCACGTGTCCTTTCAAAATCTGGATGGGAACATTCTGACCTTTCAGAAATGTGTCTTTTATGAAGCAGTGGCTTTTGTAAAAGTGTATTAAGAGTGTATCTTAACATAAACTTTGTAGACCCACGTAACCAGTTATAACAGTGTTGGCTTTCAGTGGAGGTGGCCATGTTGCAATAGCATTTCGCTGACAGCAGTTACTGCCTTTTTTTTCCAAGATGAGGAATCTTTCATTTCAGTTATTTAGATTTCCTCTAATGGTGAGGACATTCTTTTCAGAAGATACAGGTAATAGTGCCCCCCTCCCTAGCTGATGAACTATGGAGGTTTAGATGTCAGGCAGTTGAATAAATGGGGGGGAAAAAAAAAAGCTGGGGGGGATGGGACGGCAAACGGGATGATTTAATTCACATGTAAACGATGGTGATAGTGTAGGGAGATGGATTTGCCATAAGCAGATGTTGTATAAAGATTTCCTCACAGATTTACTTACGTGCAACGCCCTTTAGGGCAGTCTTATCGCTAGATCTGTAGTGCTTTAGCTGTTTGCATGTCAGTGAGGATGAGAAGAGATTTTGAAACATGTATGTCAACTAATGTTGTATGGGACACATGTACAACGCAGGGACAGGATAATTACTTCCAGTTGTAGTCTCTTAAGAGTTTTGCCAGTGTAAGTGACCGTGATCAGCTGCTTCTAAAGTCTACTGTGCTCTTAAAAGAAATGGAAAATGTATCCACAGCTAAAGTGTTACAACTAGTGAACTTCATTCAGGCTTAAGTTTACGTTAGTGTTTTTTGTGGTGGGCTGATGTCGGGCCTAACAGATGCCACTAATGGAGCAGAGAGGAAGGAAGAAAGGAGATGTTTGTTTCACTCACCAAAATTTTGCTAGCAACATTATTTTGCTATTTTATATAGTTTATTCTATCTGGAAAAAGTAACTACTGTGAATTAAAGTGATGTCTTCCTTATTAAGTGTTTACCAAGTGAAATCCAAGAAGGCTGGCTCATGACTTTACTAGCAAGAGACTTCCTTCTGGTTTTTGGGGTTTTTTTTGCCTGTCCTTCCTTTTTAAAATGGTAGATGACTCAGTTTAGTATCTGAAAAATCCCCTACTTCTCACAGGTTTCCTGAAGAAAAGCATAAAACTGTGCTAATGATTAATTTCATAATTCTCACTTGAAAGGTGGTTCTTAGCAGTTGTAGCAAAGATCGTGTCTTGCTTTGCTCCTTAAAGCTTTATCAAGTGTTCGCAAAGTGACACTACATTAAGAACAGTTACACATACCTCAAAAGGTCAAAACTGCCGGGGGACTAAGAAACAATTTTTTTAATTCTTTTAGATGGCTGTGTAACTCGGAACTTCTCTAGCTGTCTCTGGAAGCAGAAATCCTAGTTAAGAACCTAAGGTCCAATAAAAAAAAAAAAATGTATTTTGTCATTCTTTTATAAAGCTTATTCCCGAGTTCATTGCTGTTATGTTTGTCTTGGAGTTCACTGAAGGCAAAACATTCCTGATTGCCAAATCATAATGCTTATGTCTTAAAACCATGATTTACATAGTGTTAATGTAGCTAACTGAGTTTAAGCTTAGGACAGAGCAAAGAAATGTCTAGACTGAAGAATGTGCTTGTGAACACCATGTTTGTCAAATCCACCTGCTTGCATCCATTGTGCAAAGCCAAACAGATTCCTCACCCAGGTGGGTACTTGCATGCTAAGGCTTCACTGATGCTTGATTGATGCTAGGGTTTCTGTGGGTGCCTTATGGTCCTGGAGTGATTCATAGTGTATTGCGGGAGAACTAACTTGTTGTTAGTAGGACCTTATGCAGAATTGCTCTTAGCCTGCCAACTCATCTAGCTGAGGCACTTCCAGCTGCGCATGCTCTGTGCATTCTGTCTGTTCCAGCTGGAGCCAGGCCATAGATCCAGTCCTAGGGAAGAGCTCTTCTGTTTGTAGCTGTCCTGTGCTGGGTTCTGTTAGACATGAGAGGCAGATGCTTTCAGTAGTCTCTCCATAAGAATACATACAGCGGTGGTAAGTCTCCGAGTTGAATGGTAACATGGCATAACGGAGGCGTTCCGTAACTATTCTATAGGTGGCCTGACATTTCTGTTGCAAGATTTTTTTACTGACCTGAATTGACTTATGTACAAGGAAACAAACCTTGAAGGTCTTGGAGGAATTTTTTTTTCAGAGGTAGAATCAAGGAGACTTTGCTGGTCTGGAGGATGGATACTGTTGATACAGTTGCTGTGGTCTGACTTACCTTTGAGATGGTTTTGCAAAGGTTAGTAGAGTAGTACTGTACTTGAAAAAACATTGTTTCACTTTAAGTGTAGACTTTCCAAGCTAGTGATGATTCCTAGAATTGGCTGCAAGGAGCAAGTAAGCCTGCTTGCATTGCTGTGGCTGGTGTAACTGTAGTACCCCCCTGCAAAGCACAAACTCTTCTGACTGGGATAGATGTAATGGGGTGTTGTTGGGAGACCATACGCAAGAACCTGTCTCCAGAACATTATAATGCAGTTAGTAACTAATATTGTGCATGTTATTCTGACATATCATACCTTTCTGTAGGGCAAAAGATAAGTATTTTGCCTGGAGAATTCTCAGGCAATTTGGTCATTCAAAAATCAGAGTGTCTGTCATCACTGTGGCTGCATTAAAGCAAACAAAGGAAATTGAGAGTAGTTTGTAATGATACTTCATATTGTCCTGTGAATAAAGATGTAGTATCAAAGCAAACATAATATGAGTTTCAGATTACCTTCTGATTGTTTCTGTTTTATAGAGATGCATAGATCTTTAACTATCAATTGCCTTATTTTCTGGCAAAGATTAGAAGACATGAATGCTAAAATTTAGTAGTTAAACTTTAAAAGAACAGTGTTTTGTCTCATGAAGTGGTGAAAATGAAGAACAACCAAAAGTGAAGAACAGTGCAATAAAGTTGCAAAATCTGATTGCACTTGTTTTGCTGATAGGGGAACTGAATATTGGATATTTGTGTTATTGCTATTTACTCTGCATTGTACAGGTTGTCCCTGCTTCGTAGGAATGAAATGAATAGGGCATGACTGCCCTGTTATGTTAACAAGTGGGGTTTTTTTGGTGAACTACTCATTGAGTTCTTTAATTTTGTTGGAGCAGGGCATGATAGCACCGAGATTCAATCTTCATGGGACTGTATTGGGGGTGTAGCTTCTCAAATGGCTCCAAGTCCTCTGTCAACCTCCATTGCATCAGGGTTATGCATGAATCAGTCTTGTTTGGCGCTCTGCCCTTGAGAAAAGGAAGTAGTAGTACTTTGGTTCTCTCACTTTTGCTGAAGGTCTTGTATGAATTTTATAAGCTTGTTCATTATCCTGTTTCTTGATTCATCTGATGGAAGAGCATTGCCGAAAGAATAAATATATCGTTTTAATGAGAGGAAAGAAACGACTGTTGGTGTTGCAATATACAGTTTGTGCGATACTTTCATTCACTGGTCCATTCTTTGAGCTCTTGACAGCCATGTCTGCCAGTTCAAAAAAAGCACTGTGGTAGGAATGGTTATACACAATGTAAGATTCCAGAACTCAATGGTGAGGTTTTCTCGTGAAGATAATGGTACCAGTATTAGCTTGTCAGGGTAAATTGATGTTAAAAGTAAAATCTGATAAAAGTCACATATTAGGGAAAGGAATTAATTTTAAAAGTTAATTGTGAGTTCAGTGAACATATGCAAAGAAAATAAGAGTTAGGACTGAATAAAGGAACTACAAATGCAACTGAAAGAAACTTCCTTTCTGAGATTATTTTAAATATTCTGTTGCCTGATACCATTCTATATATGGACACTTGGGTTGCGTACATAACTATGGTCTAAGAGAGCACAGAATTTTTATGGAAGTGGAATTGCTCTGTTCGTTCTGAGATTATGACAACAATATATTCTGCAAGCTCTTGGTAGTCTTGAGAGCTGTCATATTGGGAAGATTTTTTGTCTGCACTGGCCTCTAGGCTGAACCCTGCTGGGTATTCGAGTTGCCTGTAAGTGCCTTTAGTATCAGAGTGGTGGAGGGTGCATTAGACAAGGGTGCATCACTGTGTTTGTAACGAGAGAGGAGCAGGGAATTGAGGATGGGGAAAATGAGGAAATAATGCTTTGTAAATGAAGCTATTTTGTTCACTGCTTTTCATCAAGTTGGCTAGAAGTCTAGATGTTTTCTGAAGAAACTATTTGGCTGGCTGGGTTTAGGTGTGTGTATTACGCTTAACAGGACAGAGACCAGTAATTTGAGGTTATGTAGGAAGCAGGTGCTTAAGAGGGGCATTTTCTGCCAAGTGGTTGGCTGGTCATGTGTCAAAGCACTGTGTACTGCTTATGGTAGCCAAGCTTGAGAGAATTGATCAGGGTGCTTTTTGACACCTAAAAAGGAGATGGTTTCTTGATGGTGAAGAGAGTTGACTTTGTTTTAAAATGTAACTGAAAATACGTTTTCGGAGTAATGATATATTAGATTACATGTATTCATCAGCCAACTTTATACCAAAAAAGTTGAGTTAATGTTGTGTAATGAACCATTTCACTGTTTTATAGTGCCTTAGTGCTATCATACTTTTGATTGCTAGTAATTAAATTAATTCTTAATAACAAAATACTTCATCTTATAACTCATGTATTTTGCTTTTATATGTGATCATAAACTTGTCTGCTGTAAAGATCTCAAACTTCGAGCTTGTTTTTTGACTCGGCAATTTTGAGGGTCTTCCCCAGTTTGCACAAGTTATCTTGCACTGCTGTATGTCTTGGTGTGATTGATAGCAAAGGTCTTTAATTTGTGACATGAATGGATAAAAGTCGTGTACGCTTCGTGATTCTGAATAGAGTCATACCATTTAGAGGGGACTTAGAATTCAGGTAGCTGTCTTAACAGCTCTTCATTGAGTATTTACTCAAAATGGCTTAAAAGAAGATAATACCCCATTTTTCATCTTGGAGTCTTGATTCTGTAAGCTAACAGGCAAATGTTTTGATTAGGAAGGAGGAACACTAATGCTGATTGAGCTTACTGCATCTTGCTGCTTTCTGAAAAAGCTTCTGATGACAACTTTTAATTAGAGGGAGATTTTGTAAGACCTCTAAATGTTTAACAGCAGATGATGTCATTCTAATGAGTCTTAATTATTTGCATAATATTTTTGTAGTCCCTCTCAAACTTTGTCTTCTGTGTAAAAGCTTATACGTAATACTGGTGTTTCTTACGCCTAACCACTGAAAATACTTAAAATGGATTGGAATCTAGTTAAATGGTAAGCTCTTCTTCCAGATTCTGTCTTTTTGGTCAAAGCTTTTGTTCAAAGGTTTGCAATAGCATTTCTAAATAGTGAAGGAATGGATTATTTGTTGTTGTTGATTGCTGTCATTCACTTCAAAAATACACTCACGTTTAAGCTGTTGCATAATTTTTACTTGGAAACCAGCAGCCCTCCCATGAGTAAGCAGTCCTTCAAGCTCTCTATTGGTTAGCAACAATGAAGAGTTCTTGATTACTTAGTTGAGTTACTGTGAGACTCTTCCATCGTTGTTAAGAGTGCAAATATACAAAATGTTTGAATCTTGAGTTGAGTATTATATCTAGGTTGCTTATTGGAATAAAACTAAGCTAGTAAATAGCATTTCAAGTGCATTGGTTTTCTTTGTGTGGCGTTTTATTTTTGTTGTCACCTTACAGTAGTTTGAGGTTTCTCAAAGTGTAAACTTTCTTACTTTAATTTTTTGCTGCAACTTAAATAGCTCTATCTGCTTTTCAGCACATTGGCCTCTGCTAAAGTAAACAGAGCTTATACAAAGATAATTACATTCAGAATGCAGGACTCTCATAGTGATGGAGATTTCCACACTAGAATTTAACAATAAAACAGGGGCGGGGGAGCACTCCAATGAGTAGAACTGAGTCCTTTGTAAACCAGCCCCTGATTGTGCTCACATAATGAGAAAATGTTCATTTTTGTTTCTTAAGAAAAATTTGAATTAAACAAATCTGTCCCCTTAATTTATCATGTTAAAAGGACAGGGAACTGTTGTGTATAGGCTGGACATGTAGCGTATGATTGTAAGTTATGAATGTGTATGTAGACAATAAACTCTCTGAATAAACTTTTTTGTTCCTCCAAATTGAAATATTTTGTGGATTTTCTAAAAAAACTTGTGATGAAATACGAAGTTATGGAGGGGGAGCTGGCTTGCTTTTGGACTGTGGAAAAGATTGACTAAGTGTTGCATTTCTGTAAAACGGTGGTGCATAAATAACAGACCAAAAATACTGCCTTAAAGGTGTCCTTGTGAGGATGGGCTGCTTGTTCTCTCTGTGCTTATAACAGGTTTAAATTCTGATTTCCTGTCCTTGATAAAATTTTGTAAAATGGAAGTCTCAAGTCTTAATTTTTTCAAAGAAAGATGGTACATGTACGGGAGGAGCATGTGAGAGCTGGTATTTTCCTCAGGAGCTGTCAGGAGCAGAGAAGAGTAGGTATCAAAATTCTACCACTTTAATAGAGGCTTCTTTGTTTACTATGTAGACTTCTTAGACGCTTAATGTTTATCCCAAGTTTTTTTCTGATTTTGCAACTTCTGTTTCTCAGTCCTAGAGAAGAGGGTAGCCTTATATAGTGAATTCCACTAAAACTTACGGCAATAAAAAAGTATATATATTGTCCAGGACGCAACAGTCTTATTTTTAACACTTTAAAATAAGAAATTTCCTACTGTGAATTGTGCTTTGATTAAGTGAAAGTAAGAACCTGTTCTGTTATATATACTGGCAAGAGGAGGTTGAATCCAACTCACGTGCAGTTAGCTTTTGACTTACTGCTGTAAAACATACCTATCTGCTGTCATTCCAGTAGCAAACAGCACCACTTTCTTGGTTATCACAGGGTATAGTCCTCACACTTAACAGTAATTGTTATGTTTGTAGGATTTCCAGTGAGAACATTCAAACAGATCTTTTCAGCTAGGGTTCTAGGATCTGCAAGATTCTTGATCTCCAGAAAGATCCAGTGACCTTACAGCTTCTTTACATGTTAGTACTGCAGCATGTAGGCCTTGTGCAAAATTTTTATTCCAGATCACATCAGTTGAGGAATGAGATTAGGTGCTTATGGCTGTGAAGAGAACACAGGCTGCCTGGGATACTGCATCATCTTATACCTATTGCAAACTGAGATAAGTAATTCTTCAGGGTCTGTTAGGAACAACTGGCTTGCAGCTGCTCCTGAAAGCATCAGTTTGTCAAGCAATCTAAGAAATGTTGGTTTGACTCTGTTTGATTCGTTCTATGACAAAAATGAAAAAGAGCTTTAAATATTAGCAGCAGATGTAAGCATGCATTAGCATTTTGAAGAATTTGGAGGTTCAAGCAGAAGATTATGGACTTGAGTAGGCAATGCTATTTTAACCTGCCATAGATCTTGCTGTTGCTACCTTAGACTTTTTGTGTGGCTTCATGCATATTCCAGCTGTGCTGCGTAAGGAGCCTCATTTCCACATAAGGTATAATTGCGCATACTTTTCTTCAGCAGTTTTCTGGCAGTTCAGCATAACCTGCTGTAAGCCAGGTATAGCTGTTTGTGTGCTTATGTGACGAATTGGATTGGTGTCTGATCTGGCTGGGAAATTCATTTTTCAGATTGGTCAGCTCTACATTCTGGTTCAGCGCATAAACATCTCTTCTATGAGAGCATAGATGTTCCTTCAAACAAGTGATGAGGGAGGGAGAAAAGAGGGAGCACTTTGCTGAAGTAGTACAAGTGTTAAATGCCTTATTCATCTGGGGCACAAAAATGGGATATTAGTTACAGTAAAGAGTGCTTCAGTGGTTATCACAGTGGGAACCAAATTCTTTTGTTGCTTCCTTGTGGGAATTTAATAGAAGGCAGAGATGCTAGGTGAAGCAGGTTGAAGGTGAAAATGTCACTGAGGTTATTGTTGCCTGTGTCTCTCAGTAGTCTTTGAGTACGGAAGTTTTTCTTTGAAATAGTCTTTGAGGTTAATGTTGCACTGTTGTATGTTAACGGTGTAATGTTTTGTGAGGGAGGGGAGCCTGCCTGGTACCATTAAGGGAACAACTATTAAGGGAGCATGTGATATGATCTGCTTAGTTTCTGTTGCAGGATAGAGTCAAAAGCACATGGACTGAAAATAGCTTTGTGCGCTACTCTATACTATTAATGTGTGGTGTTTTTTTAAAGAAACTCTTGGTAGTAAATGGATTTCTATTACTTTACCACAAAATAATATGGTTCAAAATCTTTCCTGTTTTATTCCTTTTCATGTCAGAAAAGAATGAGGAATTCCAAGTAACTGATTTTTTTATAGCTCAGTTGTCACCATACTGTGCCATGCATTGTGTTCAAGGTATCCATATATACAGCTATAGAGGAAGATAGATGTAGGCCTTATTTAAGCAGTTAAATTTAGTTGGTGGCTTAATATTGGAGCTATAACTTTAACTCATGTTTAAGCATCGGTAAAGCAGACATTGTCCATGCGTTTTGCAGGTGATGCACATCGATACTTGCTCTGTCAAAGTGATAATGTCTTCACTGACTAGAAGAACTACCTGTCAATGCAAGTTATAAGAGTTCTGTCTTAATTCAAAAGTATGTTGTCAGGCAGTATTCTTAATATTATGAAACAATTGTATTTCAGTTACTGCTGTTTTGCTTTTCCCACTGGGAGATTAGTCTTAGCAGTACAAGGCTTTTCTCTTACTTCAGTTTTGCTCTTGAAAAATCTGATGCTTCTTTTTCTTGATGCATATCTATTTTTATTTCTAGGCCTTTCTTAAAACTTTCCATGTCTAAATGGACTCCTGAATGTAATATAGTTTATACTCTAAAAGCGGATATGAAGAGTGAAGTTTCTTCTGATGCACCAAAGAGACAGGAGAGTCTGAAGGGGATCCTCTTGAACCCTGAGCCTATTGGGGCAGCCAAAAGCTTCAGTGCAGAAGTTGAGATGATTGCCAGTAAAGTAGGGAATGAGTTCTCTCACTTATGTGGTGATTCTCAAAAGCAGAAGGACATGAATGGCAACCGTACAGACCAAGACAAAAGTATTGTGCGAAAAAAACGCAAAAGCCAGCAGGCTGGTCCTTCATATACTCAGAATTGTCCTGATAAAGAAAACCAAGGAATCTTAGGATTAAGACAGCATCTAGAAACACAGAGTGAAGACAATGATTCTTCTTTTAGTGACTGTATCTCTTCACCTTCATCTAGCCTACATTTTGGAGACTCTGACACAGTAACATCTGATGAAGAAAAAGATGCTTCTGTAAGACACCCTCAGGCAGTGCTGAATACTACAAGTAGAACTCATAGCGCCAGGTCACAAAAGTGGCCTCGGACTGAGGCAGACTCTGTACCTGGGTTATTAATGAAAAGGCCCTGTTTTCACAGCAGTTCTTTAAGAAGACTTCCATATAGGAAGAGATTTGTGAAAACAAGTTCGTCACAGCGGACACAGAACCAAAAAGAACGGATTTTAATGCAGAGGAAGAAGCGGGAAGTGTTAGCTCGAAGAAAGTATGCTTTACTACCCAGCTCTAGCAGTTCCAGTGAGAATGATCTCAGTAGTGAATCTTCTTCCAGTTCATCTACTGAAGGGGAGGAAGACTTATTTGTGTCACCTAGTGAAAACCACCAGAACAGTACAGCTGTTCCTTCAGGTAAAACTAAATTCCTGAGATACTTTTTATTAATGAGCTTTGATCATGTACAATATGCTTTTTTTGTAAGTACTTCGGAGCAGTTGTTTTTGTGTTTTTATAAAGTTATATTACAAATAGACTTAGTGCAAGTAATGTGAGCATTACAGCATAAATTCTTGATGGGAAAAGTACATACAGAGCTTCCATTAAAATTACAGCAAATCTAGAATTCTTCAATGTAAAAGGTGAAGTTAGTGGTTTCTAAACAATGGACTGGAAGGTTGCTGAATCTGATTAGTCACATGCTGTGGAGTTGCTCCTTTTTTTTTTTAGCTGTTGAATCGTATTAAACAATTAGCTATTGCAGCTTTAACTGATTTTGGGAATAATGATTCTGCCTGTTTTCAGAATGTAGAAATATCTGCTAATACATAATTAACTGTGCTGACAACTTTAAAAAGATGAGAAGAAAAAAAATAAAATCGGTCATTGTGGTAAGAGCCTGAAATAGGATTCAGTTGAAGGTAGCTTTAGTAGTGCAGTAAGAAGAGAAAATTCTAAGGCCTGAAGTTGTAGAAAGCAAAGTACTGTATATATACCAAACGTTTTACCTAGATAAACTCAATGCAATAATCTTGCAGTTGGTTTGCATAGATGTTTCTTTATCATGTCTTGACGTAGTATTTGAGGGCATGCTTGAACATTTGGAGTGGGGTTGGGGGGTTGTGTTTTGGGGCTTTTTTGGTTGGTTTCTGTTTTTTGGTGTGTGGTGGTTTGGGTTTTTTTTTTCCATCTACCAATTTTCTTGGACTTCCTTTCATCTTAAATTTGCCAAGTGAAAGGCAGTCCCGTAACATTCACAATGTTGTAGTTGTGCTTTCTGTTCATCATTTCAGCTTTTTAGAGATCATGGGGAAGAAGATACATAGAACACAGCGTAGCATTGATCTGTGCAACCATGTTTTTTGCCCAGAGACAAATGTGTTTTAGAAAATGAAACTGTATCTTAGACTGTGCTGATCATTCCTGTAAGAAAAAATGACTGCTAATACAAGGACAGGTTTAAAAAAAAAAAGTGTGTATGTTCATGTTAGGGGAGGATTTATGCTTGAACAGAACCAGAATATGAAAGACTAGATTATTGCTTGTTAACCATTGTAGCACGAAATAATGTGTGTTGTTCTTTAACGTACTGTTTAAATACAAGAAGTAAAATCTGTAATGCAAAAGTCTTACTTAAGCAGTGCTAGGGCTGCATAAATAACTGAAACAGGAGAATTATTTCACAACCTTGATTATCTTCATGCATATTTGGGGGGACAGAAATGTAATTTTTTTAAGCCTAAAAAAGTACATTTGACAACATCTTCAAGCATATTGAAGGGTATGATTTGTAAATAAGAAATGTATGGGGATATGTGTATTTTCATATTAAAAACCAATTTGGGAGACTACTGTGTAACACTTCTGTTTCCAAGTTAATAGTTTCTTATTTTCAGAGAGAATGGAGTTTCATGTAACTGTAAAATGATGTAGGACCATTAAGAACTTTTTTTTCCACACAGAGCACCATGCAACAGTGAAACTGGTGTATGGATGAGAAAATGTAGGTTATGGACTCTTAGGCAACCATCTATTTCTAACCATGCTAAATGTATTTAGAGAGAGATTTTTCAATTAATTTTTTTTTTAGTCTAACTGCTAAAACCTACTGCCCTTTTTTAACACAAATTCAATCAGTACCACTTCTGTGCTTTTATTTCCCTTGAAGTGTAGAACAAGTATTTCCATGGTGAAGCTTTCTACAAGCATTTTAAAAGAATCTTTCTGGAGAGAGATCTCATTAAAAATTGATGTAATGATCAGTGAGTATTCAAGCTGTTCAGGTAACTTCTGATAATTCAGTGATGCAGTGTGATGTTATTTTGATGGTAGGAAGACTGGAACTTGCAATTTGTTTCATTTAGTTATGTGGAAAAGGTGCATTGTCCAATGGCTTAATTTTTATACTACTTGAAAAGCACACTTAATTCATTTATGAAATTATGTTTATTCTCATGAATGAAAAATTGATTGGCTTTACACAGGTTAATTTTAGATTAAAATACTGACATTGGTAATAACTGAAATAAGGTATGCTTTAAAGAATGTGTATTATGGTGGCTGTACTTCAGGACTAACACTTGCAGTGAGCTGAGAAGTAATTCTGCCTTAGAGCATGTGAATACTGTGGATTTTTTTCCCAGTGGAAATACGTATCAATGGGAAGGTTTTGAGTATTTTATTTACATTGCAGATAAAATGGGAAGTTGAGCAGACTTCCTTTATAAAAGTGTCCTATTTTTAGCAAGATAAAAGTGTGATTAACGGTTTCTATTGCGATTAACAGTTTCTATTGCTTTCTGCTCTTATATAAGGCATTTCTAGATACTGAGTTAATTGGGACAGAAATGGGGCCAGCTGGGAAAATAGCTATGCAACTTCTCTGTATGGTGTTTCTGTATGAGGAAAGGGTTGTATTGCTAGTAATACTACACTAGCCTGTTAATGTTAGAGAAGAATTTTTTGCTCTAGATTGGCACGTGAAGGTTTTGTATGCATCTGCTGAAATTTCACAATATACTGAAGGGCAAAGAGCTACTGCTAAGAATGAGGCCTGCAGCATATATGTAAAAGTACTAGAGGATGAACTTAAGAAAGGAGGAGAATAATAATAATGAGAAAAGAAAATACAATTTTAAAAAGATATGGTAATAACTGAAATTTTAATAAGTAGGCATCAAAGTGATGTGATTAGTCTTGTAGCCTACTTAATGGCAATTTGTATTATGGATATGTCACAAAATATTTCCTTGTTTTGAATGTTGATGTTTATCTAAAGACACAGTGCATTTAAGGAACTGGTAAATTTAATTAGTGTGTACTGTTCTAGAAAATGTTTCTTTCTGATTATTGTGAGAAATGAAAGAAACAGATCTTTTTAACCCAAAAAGTGGTTAGTAGATTAGTTCTTGTAGCTAATAAAACTAAGTTGGCTATTTTTTGAAAATTGTGTGAATGGAGATGGGGGTGTGTGTGGTGGGTTTTTTTTAACAAAACCTTTACCAAAAAAAACCCCAAAGAACACTATATAGCGTTTTTCCCCCTTTTCCCTTTCTATCAGGGCTTTAGCTATTGTTCTGGTGGAACTTTGTGCTTTAGGAGTAGGAGAGTATTGAACAAGTATAAAATCCTGATACCTGGGAATAGATTATATTGTTCTACCAGCTGTTTGCTGTAAAAGGCAGTTGTCCTCATTAAATCTGGAATGACCAGATGAAGCTGGTTCAGGAGGTGGAGAGAGAGTGTTGAGGGCATAAGGTCAAGGTAAAAACAACTGTGTAGTTTAATGATGCAGTTATAGTTGAAGGTGCAAGGGCTTTTAGGGGTATATATTTTAATTTGAATGTTAGTCAGTTGCTTTTAATTGAAATACTTGGGCTTACAGTTAAAATGACTGCAGACAGCAACATTTTTGCTATGAAATGCAAATTTTGATTCTGTGATTTGTTTAGGTAGCTCAGAAACTTTTCTCTAACCCTTGGAGGACCTGTATACACACCTATAGAGATAATCCTCTTTTGACTTTCCTTCTCAAGGGTGGCAAAATTTCAACTTTTACTTTTACTATAATTGGATCTCTGTAATGTTGAAATGCAGATTTTCTGATATGCCTGCACGCGTCTTTGATATTCAGTGTGGATTTAAAGGGCTGTGGGTGCCATTTGGAGACAGTCAATCTGTGGAATGAAATCTAGCAAAAGCTAAAACAAGCTTTTAGCCTCTCATACTCTGATTTGGCCGTAAAGCTGAACCCTGGGAAATGGGAAAGTGGTGTAATAAAAAAAGCTGGCTGGAATTTTGCATTGTCATAAGTTGTTCACCTAATAACACTTAAAATTCCTTCAGGGTCTGACATGCTACTTTATATTTTTGACTAGCTAGTGCTAGACAAGCCTTGCCTCTTGATGCTGATGAGAAGCTGCTCCAGTTTTTGTTCAAAGCTGCTTAGAATGATAAGAATGAGTTCATTCACTATCATCCTCTTGATTCCTCTAACATATTTGTTGTCTGTCTCCCAAAAACGTTGAAGATAGATATCTGATATTTTAAAAGCCAGAGCTTGGTGAAAACGTTAAACATACACCTTTTCACATTCAGATTATTTTAATGGGTTCAAGATAAACATGTATTAGGTGGAAATAAGCTACCTGTTGTTACAGTTGGTTATTTTTCAGTTACTTAATCCCTCCTGTAACTACAGCATGCACGCCTTTTCTCACAGTACCTAATGCAGCTCATAATTAAGAGCTTTTATCTCAATAGCACTAGTGGACGTAGCCTTTCTGCTGCGCCTCTTACTAGAGACGGGTCAGGGAAGAACTGGGAAGTGGTGAGGAAAGAAGCACCCAGTTTTGCGGGCAGTCGACGTTAACCATTGTTGCTGTATCTGTCTGCTGTGAATTGGAGCTTTAAATAGCTACAGTAATAAATATTAGAGTGGAATTCACTGCAGCACTTCCCTGTAGCTGCTGCAGCTTTCTGTGCTGAAAAGATGCTACTTTTAGAATTGGCTTGCTGTTGGCATTGCTGGTAGAACTGGAATTTATATGCTTGGTTAAGAACAGTTAGTAGAGTTTTGGATTAGCCCATATTAGCATGTCTCACAGCTGGACAACATCCCCTAAATTGTGGTTGTTGACTGTCTTTTCCACCAGGGTGCAGACTCCTAAGCAAATTGTATGTTTTGAAGATTTCTCCCATCATGCACAACTATTGGAAGGCATATTCCAAATAAGTTCTGTACCAAATAAGGTACAGAAAAACTCATTTTTTAACCTAGTGTCACCTGACACTAAGGGGACAGAAAGGTTCTTTTAGGGATCCTTGGCAGAATGATGATGGCACTAAATCATGGTTACAATTAAAGCTTTATTTTCTTAGCAGTATGTTATGATTAATATAGCACAGAATTTATT